TGTGTGTGTGTGTGTGTGTGTGTGTGTGTGTGTGTGTGTGTGTGTGTGTGTGTGTGTATTTGCTATATTAATCTAAGAATAATGATAAATTTATATAGCATCGAAAAAATGCTTTGCAGTATAATATATATTAATCAAAAGGAAGTGAAAGAGTATGTCCTTTTTAGAATATAAATACGAAGATCGTATAAAAAATATGTAGATCAGCAATACTGCTCGTTAAATTCTAAAAATATTAATAAATTTATGTTAATATTATGTATCTTTAACATTATGAATTTTCTAAAATCTAATGCATCTTCTTTGTTTATTATATTTATTTGCATGATATTATTCGTTATTTTTTATATTATTTATATAATAATAATTGTTATTGGGAATTTATAACTCTGATATTATTGATTTATCTATTTACCGATCAGTATTGTTAATACACATAATTTCAGAGCAGTATTTACATGCATTTTCATACATCATAATACGAAGCAAAAAACTTACTCGAAATAGATTTAGAGTTAAGAAAATCACGCCAAATACTATTAAACAAAACATCATTATCTCGAACATAGACAGCAAATGTTTGGACAATCTTCAAAAACAGAAATATATTATTAAACATATTTTTTGTATATTGTGAGCATACTAACTTCATAGCTTGTCGGTGAATTTCGACAGCACAAATTATGCCTTCGTTCATCAAAATCTTATTTTTCAGCGTAATATTTTGTTGAATATTGATATTTATTGCATGCTCGATACGATAGCTGTAAATGTTTGTGCTGTAATTGTATTGCAATTTATTGAATGATGCAACTTTTTAGCAAAAAGCTCATTTTTTCATAAACTATATATATTTAAATAAATATATATATATATATATATATTATATTATTAAAAGATAAATTTTTTTTGATTCCATAAATTATTATGATTATTCCTACACCTTCATTCGTACCCAGCAATTCTAAACATTCCACAGATATACTGAAAATATGTAATAAGCATTGCTCCTATTGCTAACGTCGTAGCTGCTCCGATATATATAATTGCATAGATATGCAACAAAGTTAAATAAAAGTACTTTTCTTGGTCGATAAAATACTCCATCATAATAGGCAGATGAGATATATTTTTCGATAAAACAATGAAACTCGACAAACACTGACCAATAGTACAGACAAATCCACCAATAATAGCAAATACTAAAAAATATTAAAAAATGTTTTTATTAAAAATCCTGGAATATAAACATATCAAAATTTGTATTACTTTAGCGCGCGCGCGTGCCCGCGCACACACACACACACACACACACACACACACGCACACATACATTATAAAATTTTATGTTCTTTTGATATATGAATATATTCAATTTCTTTTTAGAATAACTCTATTATTTATGCAATTTGTGCAAATAGAAATTAACAAGAGAATATAAAATTTTATAATTTAGAGTATCTATAATACTAACATGCTATTAATTATTGTATGCATATATACTTTAGTAGAATCTGTATGATATACAAAATTGTATATACAAAAATTGTATATAAAAATAGAAATATTATTTAATATGATTTTTTAAAACTAGGTTTAAAATCTTTGTAGTTCACAATTAAACAATAATTGTGAGCATAGATCTGAGAATATTGTTTTACTTGTGAGCATAATTGTATGACATCTTGCTTTGTAATTATATTCTTCTATGATAGCAACTTCGTTTTTATCTTTTATTTGATTACATATACACTCAAGTTGCATTAATAAATCCTTTACCTGTTGTTTCAATAATTTTATATTGTCTTCGTATATATAAAAATTTTTAATATATAATAAAGATTCATTTGACACTGATGATTATGCTATTAACGCATATTGTGTAACTTATCAACTTACAGTTTCAATATTAAAACAGAATGAGTTATATTGTATCATGCCCATAATAACAAAAAATGTGGAAGATAGGACCTTGCTAACGAGATTTAAAGTACGTTTTGATGTCATTAACGTTGTGAACTATCAGTAATAATTGTATTTTTAATAAATGCTTATAAATGATTATAAATTCATATAACACTTACATTATATAATAATAAGACATTTATAATAATAAAAACATTATATAATAATAAATAATAATAAGACATTATATAATAATAAGAACTACGCGATAATGAAGATTTGCAAAATGGTACCTTATCATACAATATTGTTATACTCTGTTCTTACCTGAAATATAATACCCGATGTCAGAATAGCAGAAAAGAAAATAAATTGAAATCGTGTGAATTTAGATTGTTCATATGGCCACAAACCGATAACAAGCAACAGAATTCTATTGAAGCTAAAGTACTGAATCTCTAGATGAACCATTTTCTGTAACGTCCGAAATGCGACTGGACGAAGCAGTCGATGAGTACGATTATCCCTTCTTCTTTTCCATCGATTTCCTTGATATTCTTTCTTACAGTGCAAATTTTTAATGTGAATGCCATAATTTGTATAATATGAGACTATACAAAATATCCATTGTGAGATCACAAATTCATTTATATTTTAGTAGTTTTGCAATAAGAACTATTAAGGCATTAATCTCTAACATCAAGAAAATTTCGCATGAATATCTTCTTTTAATACAAAAAAAAAGACATCAAAGGACAGAAGTCACGCAAGCACGTATTCTTTATTCTTTGCAGTGCAATAATTTCACTTTTCATATGAATTCTCACAATAGTTTGTTCTTTGAGATAAATATCCTCCATATGTTTCGGCATTGATAGTAATTAATTCATCTCAATTTAAAACATGGTAATTAGATCAATAACATTTTCTGATATATTACTTTACACTTTGCAAAAGATTGTTATCATATTACTAACATTATTTATTAAATATTACTATGATAGATTCTACAATAAAATAATTAAATCTGTTCTTTATATTGTACAATATGTACAATTTTATTCATATGTTTACAGACGTTTTAAATCCAGTTTCATTAAGATTAATTACTGTGTAATCTCGATTTAATAACCTTATGTTGGTGAATATTTTTGATTTTGTGAATATTTTCTTTTTTTAGTATAATAAAATTGTAAGCAAAAATATATAAAAAAATATATACGTATTTAAAAATTGAATTTTCTTTTTTTTCACATGTGAGAAATGCTGTTATCTTCCTCGAATATATAATTTCGAATATATAATTGCTCTTATTTGATTCATATTTATATTGCCAATATATAGATAATATATATAAATAATATGACAGTAAAATAAGACACCGAAATTTGTAAATATTATTGCGTTTACTTTTAATATATTATATATTAATATAATATATTAAAAAAAACACTGCATGATCTTATCTTGACGAAGCACTCTAATGATGGAATAAATAATTCAACATTCAGATCGAAATTTTTGGCGCCTTTTATCAACAGGAAGAGTATCATTTCCTGAATGTACAAAGAAATTACACATCATTCAGCTCTACCTACATAAATTATGAAGACAAGAATGGATAGTTTGAAAGAAAAGTATGAAGATTTTCATATAATTTACAATATTTTATGTTAATCATACAAAACTAATCATATTTAATACTTGTTTGGGTATAAAAATTTATAAATTGAAACCTTCCAGTTATTGTTTTCCGTAAGAAAGTTCCTTATATAGTAGCAAATACATAATTATTGTAATCCATCATTAATCCAAGAGAATTCGATATGAACAAATATAGAATAAAAACAGCTGCAAATAGCACAGGCAATTATTAGTATCTTTCTTCGTCAATAAAATCTGAAATACGAAATTTCACGATTGTAGTTAATTTAATGCACTTTAATTGATAACTTTAATTTTATTTAATGAAATATTTTATAACGTTTTTCTTTTACATAAACTCAACTTTTCTAATGCTCAAATAGTAATCCGCTATCGGAACTGAATTCAGCTTTCTGAATGATTTGCGTACCATTATTTTTTATAATACAATTCATAGACGATTTGCTTCTGAAAATAATACAGCGGATGTGTCTTTCTCATGAAATTAAGCTATAGAAGAGTTTCAAAAAGTTGTATCAAATTACTTAAAAGCAATGTAGAACAATTGAAACTATGTGATTGTTCAAAATATAATATATACAATACTTGATTTGAATACATTGCGCACTGAGAGAAATGATTTTGTTATAGAAACAAAGAGAAAGCAAATATAATATTAAATAACGATTATATATAATATTAAAAAATATAATATTAAAAAACGATCGATTTATACGATTGCAATTTAATTTGTCAATGTAACAAATAATCAATAGTATTGCTAACAAATAAGAGATAAAATATATATATATAAAAGTAGACTTTTGCAGTGTTTCAAATCATAAGAAATTGACCAATTCTAGTCAAGTATTCTCCTTATATTTGACTGTGCTTGATCGGTTTCCTACGACTTAAAATTCCACGATAATCTATGAATTCTATTATATGTAAACGAATTTAAAGTCTATCCAAAAGATTTTATATAATTTGCTTCTGTTACTACTAATAATTGGTATAACAGACTACCAACAATCACAACAACAAAATTTGTTGTCACTTTACCTGAACAATTTTAATTTATAATGTTTTTCTTGAATCTCTAGAATTTCTAGCTAAACTATATGTTCAAAAAATAATTTTACTTTTTTCTAAAAATGAATACTCCTGTTTTCCCATCAGCTACGTTTTTATTATTCTATTATTAATTCTATTATTTATAATTCTATAAATTCATATTTATTTTGTTATAGAATATATGACAGTAAAATATGATATCGAAGTCTTTACTAACTGCAATTAAATACATCTCTTTTTATAATATTCATTTGTAATATCGTATATATAGATTGTTGTTGGTATTATATTACCATGGCGAAACACTCCATAGATGCATTAAATACTCCACCGACATTCAGAGTAAATTCTTTAGCTTCTCTTTGTAATAGAAACATTATCATTCTTTGTATATGTAACGGAGCTCTATACCACTGAACGTTGTACCTATGAAATTGTACATAGATAACGAATTGCTAATTAATGAAAAAAATTCATATTATTTTCAACTATGCTAATTTGTTCTGCAACTACATACATTAATTTTTACATTTGAAACCATTTTTAAAAGATATATGGAAAGAACATTTTCGTTACTAATTATAAATGATAAATTGACAACATTAGTTATAATAAGTTGCTATCACAAATTATCTTTTTTACGAGCAAATTGACGTTGCCATCGATTTGCAATAGAATTCGAATTTATGTGAGTTTTCGACAAACATAATGCTGTCTCGATTATCTTGAATTGCTTCAATAATTATCGACAACATGATAAGCAAACTCACTGCATTTGGCTAACTGAATTTTAATAAAATTTCTTTTTAGGTTTTCACGGCTATTTTCCTTAAAGATGCTATAGAAGATTTGCGGATTATCGCCGTGTTTTTGTCCATTGCTAATACTAATGGTTCGTGAACCATTCATTTCATTTTATCAGGGCAGGAGCGCTGATTGTTGAGTTTCAATGTAGAGTCACTCTTTATAAACATTCCAATAAAAGAAACTTTAGATATAATCAAAACCTCATATAAAGTTCTAACATCGTCCCTTTAATTGAACACTCTCTAATGATCACATATTTTTCCTACAATAACTACTTCTACGAAGACGTCTGGAGCAGCGTTGGGCTCTCCCATCTCTTCTGTTATTGCAAACATCTTTATGGAAATACTTCAAGGAAAAGGCCCTTTACAAGACGACCAATAAACCAGAAATTTGGTTTCGATATGTAGACGACACTTTCGTAATTTAGAAACATGGCAGTGATGAACTTCACAAATTCTTAAACTTCCTCGACAACTAACATCCTAATATTTAATTCACCATGGACATAGAAAAGAATAGTAAGTTTCCCTTCCTGGATGTTCTTGTCACAAAGAAGGCTAATACTCTGAGTCATCAAGTACAAGAAGATATCAATACATACTGACAGATTCTTGCCGAGTCATACTACATCCAGCACAAAAACAATTGGCAATACACTCACTTGTGCAGAGAGCATTCAGTATCTTTAATAAAGAAATCTATAAACAGAACTCAACCACTTGAAACAAACGTCACAGTAGAATGGATACAATAAGAAAGATGTGGACAGGACAATCAGCAAATATAGGAGCGGAATAAAGAATAACTCGAACACACAAATATCACAGGAAGAGTTAAACAAAAAAAGTTTCTTTATTCCTCCATATATAAATGGAACAACAGACCGAATTAGCAGGTTTTTAACAAATATAACATCCATTTCAACATTTTCAAGCCTCCAAGGAACATCGAAATCTTGAAAAATTCTAGAGACCAAGGACTCCCACTCAGTTCCGTAGAAATATATAAAATACCTTGCTCTTGCGGGAAAGTGTACATTGATGAAACCAGAAGAATAGTCAACATGAAGGAACATCAACGGGATGTCAGACTAATACATATCACACAATCAGCATGGCAAAAGCAGCACTGAGACAGAACATCAAATATTATTCCAAAAAATGGCTACTATAGCCACAATCATTTTCTCGAGGAAGTGTAGAAGGGCTCTAGAAATACAGAAACATCCAGACAATTTG